ATCTAATACTTTTCTTAAGTAAAGTGGTTTTTTTTTTTTTGGTGTGTGTGTGTGTGTGTGTGTGTGTTCGTATGTGTGTTACTGGGATCGGAACCCAGGTGAGCTCTCTTCCCCTTAGCTTCATCCCCAACCCTTTTTATGTTGAGATAGGCTCTTGCTAAGTTGCTCAGGCTGGACTCAACCTTGTAATCCCCTGCTTTAGACTCCCTGAGTACCTGGGATTCCAGGTATGTACCACCATGCCTGGCTTTAATATTTTAAAAGGAGAAATAGGTGTTGTTTCTTTCTTTGGATCTCCTCAGTAAGATTAGAAAGAATGATCACTTTTTTCTTTTCATTCATAATGATTATGGTTTTAGCAATACCATCCCTTTTTTGAAAAAGAAATCATATTCTTCTTCTAAAAGATGAAAAATTTTAATGAGATTTTTACTTTTGCAGTAAACCTGGTTTTAGGAAGTTGGCTGCTAAAGGCTGTGAGAGCTCATCCCTTATATTTTACTTATGTGTTTTCCTGAGCTGCTGTTTAAGTTTGGACTGGGTAGTACAGACTCAGAGCAGTGCCCATAACCACTGCCTTCTTCAGGTTTGCAGATTGTGTAAGGACGTTAGGAGTCAGTACATGTGTATATTAGACAATGTGTCTTATTGTCTTCCAGAAGGCATTTGGACACCGTGCCTTTGCTCATTGATATTCGTTAACCTAGAGTGCAAAGTAAATATGGAGAGGACCTCTTTCTCACTTTACTGGCACAAACTATGTTTTCATTTTGACAAGGACCCATAGGCATTTTAACCTTGGCTGCTGGCTGGTTTTGTCTCTTTGTCCTTCAGATGAACTCACTTCTCTTCCACACAAGTGCTGCTGTATGTGATTCTTATATTAGACGTATGAGTAGACTTCATCAGCGGGCTGTGGCTGGCCCTGTTTCTCAGGGTACCTGTGGCAGCCTGGTGCTGTGTCCCTGTACATGCCTGCCACTGTGAGATGGTTTTTCTTGGGGCCTTGTACTTACAGGAGGACTGGTGGATCTTTGTTTTCTTTCTTTATTCTTTGTGTGGCAATTGGGGAAGAGGAGATTATGTGGGACAAAAGGAACATTGTTGTTCCAGCTTTGGAGAGACATTTCATCATGATGAAATGAAGAAAAATGATAGTGAGTTAGTTAATATTTCAAACATCAACATCCGCAGGAATGAAGTCACTGTCTGAGTCCTAGAAATGCCAGTAGAATGACCTATTTTATTAACCAACAGAGACCCTTTTAAATTTTAATGAGGGGTCTAAATTATTATGCATTTGAATTCACTTATTATATATGGAAGATTAATGGTATATATAATAGCTATCATATTCCTAATATTATTTTCTCAAAGTAAGTATTTTTAAATAAACAGAATTGAAGAACCAGCCGGGACAAGCATATTTGGAGACACTAAAAACACTAAAGGATACACTAAGTGATTCAGAAAATAAGGCCCAGATGTCTCTCCATGCTCTGAATGATCTTGCCAAGATGGAGAAGGCCCTGCAAGAAAAAAAGGTATATATGGTTCTGAAGTCTAGAAATTTTAAGTCCTATATTTTAAGATTTTAAAAGGAGAAATAGGTGTTGTTTTTTCCTTTGGGACTTCTCAGTAAGATTAAAAAGAATGATTTTGTTATTTTTTTTAAAAACATTGGTCATTTGTAGTCAAAATTGGTCTCAAAATTTCTTAGAATTTGACGATTAACTATTATAGCATAGGACCTCAGATAAAAAGAAATTTATTTAGTATTAGTAGAAGAAAAGCATATTTTCTCCTTCTATTATAACTTGCCTAAAACTTTCAACCTGTTCATAATGTGCTAAGATCTCTTTTGTAAAATGAGGAATATTGAATTCATACTTTTAAAAAATTTGGTGTTGAGTATAAATGCTTCCCTGGTAGTAAGTTAAGTAACCTTAAGGTTCTGAAGTACTTCATCACAGAAAAAGACCAACCCTTAACACTGCACACTGGACCCTCATGGGTGTGGTGCTCCTGCGGCTCTCAGCATATAGAACATCTTATGTTGCCCACGCGTAACTCATGAAGGGAAAGCTTGAGTTTTTTTGATTATAACTATTCTTTTTACGATTCTTTTTTGATAAAATGTCTTTTTTTTTTCTGATTGTGATTCCATCTGCACAGACACATTGCTGTATATGATTTTTACCTTTTCAATTTTTTTTCCTAGGCCCTTGATGAAATCCTTGAGAATCAAAAACCCATGTTATGTAAACTTGCAGAAGAAACAAAGGCTTTGGAGAAAAATGTGCTTCCTGATGTAGAAAAAATGTATAAGCAAGAATTTGATGATGCCCAAGGAAAGTGGAATAAATTAAAGGCCAAGGTTTCCAAAGATCTACATTTGCTTGAAGAAATTACCTCCAAACTCAGAGCTTTTGAGGTAAATCAGGTGGCCATCAGGAGCTTAAGTTTATTGTAGGGTAAATGGTGATTATTACAATAAGACTCAAATATCTACTTATGTTGTGTGGTTTCTAGGCCCTCACTTTTTATGCGCTGAAGCTGAGATTTATTGTTAATGTGCTTGTGAGGCACATGCCTTTCTTTTTGCCTTGCAGAAAAGGCTTCTTGGTAGAGATGAACTTGACTTTGAAGATAAGAGAACGTTGCTTAAAAATGGTCAAAATGGGGACCTATGTGAAATATTGGCTGGTCATTAAATTACTCAGTTGGGTAGAAGGAGCTTTCCACCTGCTTCTTTTTTATAACTTTATTTTTTTTATTTATATGTGGTGCTGAGAGTCGAACCCAGGCCCTGCATGTGTGAAGGCCAGCGCTCTACCACTGAGCCATAACCCCAGCCCCTGAACCTGTTTCTTTAAAGGTCTTTGACAGTTGGGTTGAAAATCTAAACTAGTGCATCTGTATCTGACTGGGGAAGCAAGTAATTCAGGGCACACAAATTCTGAAGTGAGTTGCTTTGCTACATCTGAAAATGTGCAGCACGGACGAAGCCTTAGTAAAGTTTGAGAAGGCAGGATCAACGCGAGGCTGTATAAGGAGGAAGTGGTAAAAGCCAGTGTCAGGTAAGGTCAGATTTTAATTCTGCCCGTGAGACCTGTGGAGAAGCAGAGCTGCCACGTCACCTGGTTTTCTCACCAGAAAGGACTGGGTAGAGAATGAGCCACTCACACTCTGTCCTCCGGGGACCTGTTCCTTGGTCCTTCTCCTTTCCCTTTAGTCAGGGCTCCCCCTGTTCCCCCCCTCTCCCACCTATGTGTTCTAAGATACACTTCTGCAACAGGGTCTGACCCAGAGAAGACACTCAATAAATATTTTTCAATGAATTGAAATGAGACGAGTAATAAGAACTTTAGATTTAGGTAGATGATAGATTTAGATCCCTAGAAAATTTGTGTGAAGGATATTGCTCAAAAAGGTGAAAAGATTGAAAGTAAAGGATAAGATATATGAAAGCAGTGTTTTAAAAATCAAAGTCAGAGAACTTGGGGCAGAAGAGGTCTGATGGTCCTGTACGGATCAGCGTGGAAGGCCTCCAGCGAGATTTGATGAGCGTTGACCACTGAACTTGGAGGGAAGCTCTTGACCCAGGAAGTGACGGGCAGTTCCAGTGAACCACAGCAGAAGACTGTGGATGGACAGGTTGTGTGGGTGTGTGTGGTGGCAGCAGTAGTTTTTAGATCTCACTCGAATAAACCATTAGTTATGAAGAGGAATGTGTTATTGGGTAGCTTTCACTTCATGAGTGAATCCACTTCTACTTATGTGTTATCAGTTGTAACTGTTTCAACTTTCAAAATGAGGATTACCCTCATCTACAATTCTAGAATTTTCAGTCATGGTCCAGGAGTGGATTGATGATCAGGAGTTCTCAGCTGTGGGGGAAAGCACCCAGTGGGTAGGGCCAGGGACACAGGTAATCTTGTTAGTGCACCCAACAGGTCCACCAAACAGTCTTCCCACCCCACATGGGAATGGTGCTAAGAGTGAGCCATGCTGGGTTAAATAATTCCCGTTCTTTTCAATGATCATTCTTTTGTTTTCAGATTTAAATCTGAGAGGATTTTCAAAAGTTACAAATTACTCTTGGGTGAGATGAATATTAGCCAATATTTTAATTGAATTTCAAGGGGATCAATATTCTTCCAAAACATGAGAGAAAGTCCTGGGGTTATAGTAATCTGGCTTTAGGCTTTAGTGGGTTGTTGTTACTAATACAGCAAATCCAGGCACTTAGTGGTAAATTGGAGTGAATAAAAACATATTTCCAAGCCTCAGCATTGGTGAGATACTCAGCAGCTCCGTGAGACCCTCTCTCTAAATAAGATACAAAATAGGACTGGGGATGTGGCTCAGTGGTCCAGCGCCCCTAAGTTTAATCCCTGGTACTCATCCTCCCCACAAAAAAATGTACTTCCGTAAAAAATATATTCCCCATTAAACACATTTCTGAATAGTTTGGTGAGTTTTGTTGTTGTTGTTTTTATAGTAGTAGGTTTCTAACATCCTGTTATTTTTATTTGCCCTTTTTGTGTGCTAAGTACAAGATTGTTCTCAATGTCTGTTTCCTTAATTGTTCAACTTCTTCTCTGAAATATGTGTGCATATGTATGTGCATTTTTTTTTTAAATTTTTAAGAACACTCCTGCTCTCTTATGTGCTTTGAAGGAATTTCTTGTTACTTGTTTGCTCACAATTTACTTGAGAAAACTTAAAAATTCCATCCATCCCATAGTCTTTAGATGATTACAGGAAATATTCTTATACTGGTTATCATTGTTTTCTCTTTTTCACAGTGCTGATGTATAATTTCTTAGTCATTTAATTTCCGTTGTCTTTAAGACACGAGGTCCAGTAGGTACAGTGCCAATCTGTGTGATTTTTCTTAGGGACTAAACAATGGAATTGTTTCTTTATTTTATTTATTTGTTTGTGTACATATATTCTAATTATTATATTTGTTACTTATACATGACAGTAGAATGCATTTTGACACATCACACATAAATGCAGTATAACTTCTCATTCATCTGGTTGTACATGATGTAGATGTTTTCAGGTCATGTAATCATATATACACATAGGGCAATAATGTCCAATTCACTCTACTATCATTCCTACGCCCATGCCTTCTTCCCTCCCTTCACTCCCCTCTGTCTAGTCCAAAAACCTTTATTCCCTGCCCTGGCCCCGCCCCCACATTTTGAATCAGAGAAAACATTCAGCCTTTGGTTCTTTGTGATTGGCTTATTTCGCTTAGCATAATATTCTTCAGTTCCATCCATTTACCAGCAAATGCTATGATCTCATTCCTCTTTATGGCTGAGTAATATCCCGTTGTGTATATATACTACAGTTTATTTATCCATTCATCTGTTGAAGGGCACCTAGGTTGGTTCCATAGTTTAGCTATTGGGAATTGAGCTGCTACAAACATTGATGGGGCTGCATCACTGTAGTATGTTATTTTTAAGTCCTTTGGGTATATGCCGAGGAGTGGGATAGCTGGGTCAAATGGTGGTTCCATTCCAAGTTTTCTGAGGACTCTCCATACCACTTTCCATAATGGTTGCACCAATTTGTATTCTCACCAGCAACATATGAGTGTACCTTCCCCCCACCGCATCCTTGGCACATTTAGTGTTGCTTGTGTTCTTGATTTTTGCCATCGTGATTGGAGTAAGATGGAATGTCAGTGTAGTTTTGACTTGCATTTCTTTAATTGCTAGAGATGTTGAACATTTTTTTTTACGTATTTGTTGATCGATTGTATTTCTTCTTCTGTAAAGTGTTCAATTCCTTAGCCCATTTAGTGATTGGGTTATTTGTTTTTGCTGTTGTTAAGTTCTTTGAGTTCTTTATTTATCCTGGAGATTACTGCTCTGAGGTGTGTGTGGTGAAGAATTTTGGACTTGTTTATTTTTAAAATGCATTTTTTACATATAAGTAATACTTGAGGATGGCAGAAATATGTAGAGCAAATATTTAGAGATCTTGTTCACTCCGGTTCTTCCCTAGTGGCAGCTAATATTAACAGTGGATCCTTGTTGGAAATTAATGTATTGAAAGCCAAAGAGAGAAGCTCACAAACATTGCTCATTCTAATCATTTTTTCACACTGTAGAAAAAAAATGACATTGGAAACTTGCTGAGGACATTTAAATAGCTGAGATACCTTAGAGCTTGCAGTGTGAACCTCAGTGCTCGAAACAATCGCGTCTTTTGTTGATACAGCACATATAGCCCTTGAGAGGATTTTCTTGACTATGTTGTTACTTATTTATAAAGTGTGTATTCCCGCAGTTCTTAGAAGAGGCTCTTATTTGTTTCTGTTATTTGTTCTCATTTACTTGTCTACACTTTCTTTGTCCAGGTGGTCCATTTATCTTGCACAGGTGAGAGATTGGGCTTCCATGTTCGTATTCAGTGTCATGCTCAAATACCTTCTTAAAGTGTTTGTTTCTGTCAATGTCATGCCAGTGTAATTACCCAAATTCCATTACTTATGAACTAAAATGTTAACGGGTGGTTTTACAAACCATCACACCCCTTCAAGGCAGCAAAACATCTGAAAATACATGAAATAAGTAATATTTTTTTTCATTGATTTTTACTGACTAGATTTTCTGATGATTCATGGGGATAAGATAAAATCCTAAGAGGCTGCTTTTTCTCTTTCATTCCCAGCAGGATTGGTGGGCTACAAGATATTTGGTATTATTTCCTTTTCCTTTCTTAAGATCCTCTGCTGTGTGGGATATCCCTGGGAAATCATGAAAATGTCCCTAAGGCAGACACAAAGCCCAGTCTTCCATTTTCCGCTGTGCTGGCCTCTGAATTTCGCCTCCAGCCTCTTCTTGCTGTGCTCCACTTCTCTTGCCCCTGACAAGTCAGTTACCCCACAAGTCTGAGTTCAGCTTCCCATCTCTTCTCTTTGGAATTCTTCTTCCACATCGATGACAGAGTTAGACTTGGGAGGGGATCTGACTTCTTGTCTGGAGTAATGTAAAGTGCTCTCAACACATCTCACAGCCCCTTTCTTCCCCAGCCCAGCCTCGGTCCCCCCTTTCAGCCCACTCAGGTGGGGAGACTGTGGTGGCTCTCAAAGGACCACCCTGGACTGTGGCCTCTCCTCTGGAAATGTCATGTACTTGCTAAGATTCCTCATCCCGCTGGTATCTGCTAATTCTTTGTTTCTTTTCTTTTTCTTTTTTCTTTTTTTCATAGTGCTGGGGATTGAACTCAGGGCCTGGTGCATGGTAGGCAAGTGCTGTCACCCTGAGCTACATCCCCAACTCTTTTTGTTTTTATTTTGTTTTGAGACAGTGTCTCAATAAATTGCTGAGGTTGGCCTTGAGCTTTCGATCCTGCTGTGTCAACCTCCTGAGTAGCTGGGACTATAGGTGCTGCTGATTCTTCAAGAACGAACACCTTTTACAAGCATTCTTTCAGCCCTTCTCACTGCTCTGCCCACAGTCAGAGAATCGTTCCCTGCTCTGTGATTCTACTATTCACCTGTTACACCCTTCCAGTTTTTATCATGGTTAGAGCTGTGTTTCTCCTTTCCCAGGACATGAGTTCTTTGAGGATGGGAACCCTGTCTGGTACACAGCAAGTGAGCAGATGTGAATGAATGGGATGGGCATGATTGTTCTGTAGGTGCCTTCAGACCCACTTGTACCTCTCCAGTGAAGCTGGCTCTATAAAATCCA